CATTTGCTCTTTATTTGACAAAGTTATGAGGGGGGGAACCATATATTTTAGCCACCTAAAATAATCCGTTCCCCCTCCATAAAATGGGAACAAATTAACTTACCAGAAAATCTTTTACTGTGCTTATTCCTCACATCATCAACAACAAATCATGTAAGTTTGGTACCATTTGCTCTTTATTTGACAAAGTTATGAGGGGGGAACCATATATTTTAGCTGGTTTTGCCACCTGAAATAATCTGTTCCCCCTCCATAAAATGGGAACAAATTAACTTATCAACAAGTCTTTAACTGTGTTTATTCCTTTCATCACCAACAATAAATCATGTAAGTTTGGTACCATTTGCTCTAAATTTGACAAAGTTATCAGGGGGGAACCATATATTTTAGCCACCTGAAATAATCCGTTCCCCCTCCAAAACATGGGAAAAAATAAACACACCTTGTGAATTTTGAAACTGTTGGTCATTATTTTTTTCTTTATATCGTTTGAAATATTTATTTTTTAATATTTTAAAATCAAAATGGTTAAAATAAATAGGACTGTTAGTTTGATGATCTTTATGAAAGGTATTTTCTGTTTAGATGTTTATCTATTTAAATATTTTTATATATTTAGAAATACATTTGGAGATATTACAACTAACGATGTACCTTACAATATAAACACATACGCTGTTTTCTGGACAGTCAAAAATCACGTGATGCTATTCCTTCAATCAATTATGCAAATGTGCAAGTCCGCTCTGTTGGTCAGGTTGTTTATCACGTTTTGCTTTATGTTAAGCCAACTATTGCATTAACTCGACACTTTTCATAAATATGGACAGTTTGGAATATGAAACGCTCTTTAACTATAAAGCTAAAGGCGAATATCCCCCGCAGTCAACAAAGCAAACAAAATATGTCATTCGAAGGAAAGCCTCTTCGTACAAGATTGAAGGTAAGAATTTTTATCTTCCAGAGTGATACCTTGAAGGTAACCTCTACTTTAATATGTATCAAATAGTGGAATGCATTAGTTATCTAAAAAGCAGTTAGATAACACTCAATGCTTTTTTGTTATTGATTTCCTGCTGTATTAATTTCGATTAATATGTGTGCCCACACGATTGTTACTCCAAGTTATAATGCAGGAATAACGCACAATTTTATTGACTGTACTTGTTATTCATGTGAATTACACTTCTACTCCATTTCTACTTTTAAGTTGTGTTGTAGAAAGATTCCCATACTGCTACATTAATCAATAAAAGAAACAAAATCTGGCAAAGTGGCCAATTTTAAATGAATATGCATTTGATAATGTCTTTCTTTATGTTCTGTTTATTGCATGCTTCTTGTTTCAACTTCTATGTATAAGTCAGGTAGTAGTATACATTTGCCTATTTTTAGAATTATAAATGTATTTTAATAATAGAATTTCATGCTTCAGTCATATTTTTATTAGTGTCCTTTATCTTTTCCAAGGAAATGACCTCTTCTATGTTAGACACAAAGGCAGTCGTTCCACAACAAAGGTGAAAGTTGTTAAAGGTGCTGAGGAAGCCGAAAGAATATTTGTTGACTTCCATGCCAGCCCTACAGGTGCACATTGTGGACAAATAAAAACAACAGATGCCATCTCAAGAAGATTTTATTGGCCAGGAATGTCTGTGGACATCAAGAGATGGGTATGTTACATAAGCAATGGACTAAGGAAAGAAGTAATACCAACTACAAGATTTAAATTTTAGAAAAATAAATGTCTAAGCATTATTTGTTTTACCAATAATAATTGTCCAATAACACTTTGCATGTGTTAAATTCTTGTTCACTAACTTCCCAGGTCTCTGAGTGCTCATCCTGTCAGGCCAGTGGCCAAGCACTGAAACAACCATCAGTGTATACTCCCATAAAGGTAAAGGAATACATAGTAAAATGAAAAACAGATTTAGTGAGACTACATGGTCGTGTGCAGCAGTGGTTGATTTTCCTGTTTTGTCTGTGCTCTCACAAAGGGCCTACATTTTGAACAAGTTGATGAATAAAATTAAGGAATGTATATTTATTATACTAAACATTTTACAATATACTGAGAAGCTATTATTTTTGCTTAACAAAATACTGCTTTTAAAAATTTTCCTGTGTTCTATTATTTTTATTTATTAATCTATTACGTCTTTCATTTAAGGTTTCCCATCCCTTTGAATTAATTGGGATGGACCTCATCGGAAAGCTGGCCGAAACAAAATCTGGACACAAGTATATTTGTGTCATGATTGACTATTTTACAAAGTGGCCACAGGCATATCCCCTAAAATCTAAATCTGCACCTGAAGTTACGGGATGCATAATTAAGTTTGTGCATCAGTTTGAAGCCCCAAAAAGGATTCTGACCGACCAAGGACGAGAATTTGTAAATTCCGTAAGTACTTGTTTTGAATCTCTTAAAGAAATTTCACACAATTAGTGTCCTCCTTCCCATTATTTTGTTCGATATGTTGTTGAAATATGCAGGCTATTTTGTCAGAGCTATTTGTTTGCAAATTTTCAGATAAACCAAGAAGTGTGCAAAATTCTTAATATAAAACGAAGCCTGTGTTCGCCCTACCATCCCCAAACAAATGGGTTGGTTGAAAAAATCAATGGGACCATTCAAAGGTGAGTACTATCTCTAATACATACATTTTCTAAGAAAGATCACAAAACAAGATGTGTATTTGCTAAACTACTTACATAATAAGGGTAATTGTTAGAAATCAGGTGTTATGTGTGGCATCTTACACTTTTCATGTATTTCAGAGCTCTGAGTAAGGTTGTGGATGGTCATCCACACACTTGGGATGAGCATTTGGATGCTGTGATGTTTGGGATTCGCACCAAAAAACAAATTACAACACAGTATTCCCCATACTTCCTCATGTTCGGAAGAGAGGCACGCTATCCCTCAGAAGTCCCTGAACATTACATGGTAGAGTTATGGTCAATCTTTCCATTTCATGGTATTGTATTTAAGTCAAAAATTCTTATTTTCAATTACCACTTGATTTTCTTCAAAAACTTTGATGTTTTCATGCGTAGTCAGCAAGACTTTGCATCTGAATTAAATTTCACTGAGGTCATGAATTAATGTAAAGCATCTACTTTAAGTGTATCATTCACAAAGAACTTTATTCTGAAAAGG